AATTTATCAAACCAGGTAGAATAGATAATGCAGTGGGAGGAACAAGTGGTGTCAAAACTGGTAAAAGGCTGGAGTGGGAAGGTGTGTCTGACTTCTGCCCCACAGGAATCAGCCTTGGGATGATGCTGAATTCTCTGACCATGTGAGGGAACAGGGAAGAGGTCAGATGCTGCCACCCCCTGCCATTTTAAATATGTATGAATTCTGTCTTCAAAAAATGCCTTGTAAATCCTAATCTACTTCAGTGGTTACAATCCCATCTCAGAATGTCTTATGTTAATGAGGCAGGGTTTGTGTAGGGTATCTTGAGTCAATCTCTTACAGAATATAAAAGGCAGATTAAGCAAGCAAAGAGAGGGAAAAATACAAGCTACACCTCAGAGAGATTTCCAAGGAACCAGGAAACAAGTTCAAAACCAGGCCCTTCCCCCAGAGTCAACACAGAGTAAGAGCCTTCCCTAGAGCCAGGGTCCTGAATCTGGACTTCCTGAATTTCTGTTGTAGTAGCACTTAATAACTAAAAAGTTGCAATACTGAACGATGCAGGAAGAATCAAAAGAAGATGGAAAGAATACACAGTCATTGTACCAAAAAGAAATGGTTGATGTCGGTCACTTCAGGAGGTGGCATACAATCAAGAAATCAATAGTGCTGAAGGAAGAAGTCCAAGCTGCACTGAAGGAAATGGCAAAAAACAAAAACAAAAAAAAACCCTTCAGGAATTCATGGAATACCCACTGAGATGTTTCAAAAAACAGAAGCCACACTGGAGACACTCACTTGTTTATGCCAAGAAATCTGGAAGACATCCATATTTGTACCCATCCCAAAGAAAGGTGATCCCACAGAATGTGGGAATTGTCAAACAATATCACATGAAAGTAAAATCTTGCTGAAGGTAATTCGAATACAGATGTAGCAGTACATTGACAGGGAACTTCCAGAAATGCAAGTTGGATTCAGAAGAGGATGTGGAATGAGGGATATCACTGCTGATGTCAGACAGATTTTGGCTGAAACCAAATATCACAAAGATGTTTACCTGTTTTATTTACTATGCAAAGGCATGTGACTGCATGGATCATAATGAATTATGGATAATATTGAGAAGAATGAGAATTCCAGAACACTTAATTGTGCTCATGAAGAACCTGTAAACAGACCAGGAGGCTGCCGTTTAAATAGAAGGGATGCTGCATGGTTTAAAATGAGGAGAGGTGTGCGTCAGGGTTGTATCCTCTTACCAAACCTGTCCAATCTGTATGTTGAGAAGCTGGACTACATCAGGATTGGAGGAAGATTCATTAATAATCTGTGATATGCAGATGACACAACCTTACTTGCTGAAAATGAAGATTTGAAGCACTTACTGATGAAGATCAGACTATAGCCTTCAGTAGGGATTACACCTCAACATTAAAAAAAAAAAAAAAAAAAAACTCTCACAACTGAACCAATAAGTAACATCATGAAAAATGAAGATTGAAGTTGTTAGAGATTTCATTTTACTTGGCTCTACAATCAACACCCACAGCAGCAGCAGTCAAGAAATCAAATGACATATTGTGTTGGGCAAATCTGCTGCATAACATCTCTTTAAATTGTTTAACAGCAAAGATGTCACTTTGAAGATTAAGGTGCACCTGACCCCAGCCATGGTATTCTCAATCACCTCATACGCCTGTGAGAGCTGGACAATGAATAAGAAAGAGTGCATAAGAATTGATGTGTTTTAATTGTGCTGGGGAAGAGTACTGCATGTACTATTGATTGCTAGAATGAAAATATGTATCTTGAAAGATTTGCAGCCGGAATGTTCCTTAGAAGCGAGAATGGCCAGACTTCATCTCACATACTAGAGGGACTACTACTAAGTCGAGGGGAGGGTCAGCAAAAAAAAGGGGGACATCCTCAATGAGACAGACACAGTGATAGGCTCAAGCACGGCAATGTCGGATGGTGAGGACAGCACAGGAGCATGCACCACGCAGCATTTCGTTCTGTTGCACATGGGTTGCTAAGGCAGAGATGACCTGATGGCACCTAACAAACAAAAAAAGTGTGTGTGCATATATGTATGTATATGCATATATGTATGTATATGTATGTATGCATGTATAGATACATAACATCACAAAGAATACCATTTTTTTCCCCTTCATTTTCTGAAATTGTATAGCTTCAGCTTTCACATTTAGGTCCATGATCCACTTTGGTTAATCTGTGTATGGTGTGAGGTAGAGTCAATGGTTTTTTAATCCATATGAATATCCTGTTTCAGTGTCCTTTTTAGAAAGAACTATTCTTTCCCCAATGAATAAACTGCCACAGCTTGATAAAAATTGGACTATATGAGTGGCCCACTCTGGAACTCTAGTCTCCCTCTCATCTTTATGTCTATCTGTACCCTAATATTACACTGTCTTGGTTACTGTAGTTTTATAACAAATGTTGAAATTGAGTAAGGCAATGTCTTCAATTTTTTTCTTTTCCATAATTGTTATTCTCAGTCTTTGCATTTTCATACAAATTTTAGAACCATCTTCAATTTCTATAAAGATTCCTGAAATCTATAAGGTTGATTTGAGGAAAACTGGTATCTAAAAAATCCTGTCTTCTAATTCCTGAATGTGGCATACCCGTCCATTTATTTAGATTTACCCAAGAGAAATAAATTCTTATGTCCACATCCTTTTACACAAATGCTCATAGCAGTTTTATTTATATTAGTCTAGTGTGGAACACAGAAACCCAAATGTTCTTCAAAGGGAAATGAATAAACAAATGATGGTCTATTCATACAAGGTGGCACTACCCAGCAAAGAACTACTGAAACATGTAACAACTTGATGAATCTCAAAAACATGCCGAGTGAAAGATGTGATACAAGAGAACTATCATTTCATTTACAGGAAATTCTAAAACAAGCACACTTTCTCTACTGGGAACAGATGAGAGGTTACCTGGGGTTGGGGAAGAGTGACTGGGAAATGGCACAGGGACCATTTTTAGGGAGATGAACATGTACTTCATCTTGATTGTGGTGGCATGACACAGGCATATTTATAAACACTCACACCTTACACTTTAAATGAGTGTTTTACTGTATAAAAATGGTCTGATAATATCTGCTTCGATACCATTTAAAAATCTCTAGTAATGATTTTTCCAGAAGACAAAATACCGTATTGTCCTTTCCAAATTACCTGCCCCCTCAAACTTCCTAGTTACTGGAATTTAAGAACTTAAAACACCTCCTCATGGGAAAGCAATGATTTTTTCTCATTTCAGAACTGGTTGTTCTGGATAATAGTCCAAGGAAAGAAATTCAGAGGCAAAGACTTAACGGTTTTGCTTGGCAGTTATCCACTGTGTCACACACATTGCTTTATTTTGAAGAGCCCTGCCAAGAGGGATCTGTCATGGTTCCTGGTCCCCGCACACAGGGTCCCTCCTTCCAGGTAACTCTTCTCTAGCTGATAAATGTCTATTCATCTCTCTGACCCATTCAAATATCACCTCCTCTGTGATGTCTTCCTAGCCCTGGCCAAACTAGCAACTTCCTTGTCTATGGTACCACACACTTTAAAACATTTCTATTCCAACTCCTCACACTGTGATCTTTCTGTCTTCCCCACTAAACTCTGAATGACTTCAGCATGGCTGGTACCTTACTCATCTCTGCTTCCCCCATATCTAGCATTGGTCCCTTTAGATATCGGCTTATTCCCTTATGAGTAATAAACGAGCCCGAGAGTAGGGACAGTGACAGACAAGTTGCATTCAACTTCTGCTAGGACAGAAAAAAACGATGTAGTTCTTAAAAATGTCATGCACCTTGAATGGAATTCAGTCAATGACAACTAAATCAAGACACTGGTCTCCTAAAGCAAGTGATGTTATAGTCATGGTCTGAAGGCAGTAAAAAGGAACCCTCACCTCACACTGGCCACTGCCTGCAGTTTCTGAGCCATGTAGGGACAGAAGGTACCACAGGGCTAAGGAAAGACATACTACTGATGGACAGCAGATTATACTGATATAAAACAAACAAAACACACTCAGACACTTAAAAACAGCAGTACAGAAATGAGAGGTGTTCATTACACATAGATTTTGGGGTGTTTTTCATTGCCTTTGTGCTAGGCACTGGGCACACAAATGAATTAGGCATGATCACTGTCCTCAAGGAACACCCAGCACAGTGAGATCATGTATAAAGCATGACTCAGACATATCGCAGTAAGTGAGGTAACAGAGGTGGGCACTGAACACGGAGGCATAGAAGAGGGAACCCCAGCTAAGCCCGAGGGAAAATTCCTTTGACATGATGCCTGAGATGAGTCTTAAATAATGAGCAGGGATTAATGAAGCGAGGCAGAGGAGGAGGTCCTTTACACAGAGACACAGGCCAGGAGGTAGGAGACAGGCTGGTAGATGTGACACCATTATGTAGTTAGTGTTGCTGGAGCATCAACCCTGTAGCAGGGCAGTAAGCGGTGGGAGATGAGGCTGAGGAAGCAAAAGGCCTCAGGGTGCATTCCAGGGAGCTTGGACTTCATCTAAAGGACAACAGGGGACCAGCCACTGGCTTTAGTAAGAAACTATCTCTCTCCAACCTGCCTTCCTGATAAACCTAAATTAGCTAGGTGACATTTTTAAAAATTACTAATAAGATTAGACACATCTTTTTGCTGAGAGATATAACACAAGATGACTGCAACTATAAAACACAGAAGCCTTCTCCTGACCTGTCCTCCACGCCCCTCTATCGTTCCAGCTCAGAGTCAGCTGCAAACTTACGTGGCTCTCTTGAGGACAAGCACTCATGCTTAAGGAAAAGTACTGATGTCCAGCACCACTGCAAAGTGGTACAGGTGGTGCCCGTTCCAAAAGCAGCCCCATCTGTGATTTTAGAAACCTGATGCATCCGGATCTTAAAAGCCGTATGAAGTATGGCTCATAACACTCACTTCCAAGCATCACCGAGTTGAGAACAATTATAAGGTATCTGTGTGCCCCCCCTGATGTACAGACTTCTCGCCCAAATGCACAGGGGCCTTATCCAAGTCACATCCCTCCTGGTGGACACCCTGACTGTGTTTAAAGCTTGGGGTGGGACTAAATTCTTTCTCACACTGCCCACACTCATAGAGTTTCTCTTCGGCATGAACCTTCTGATGCTGGAGGAAATTTGACCTCTGAATGAAGCCTTTCCCACAGTGGCTGCACACATAGGGCTTTTCTCCAGTATGTATAATCTGATGTAGCAGCAGCTTTGAGCTTTGAATGAAGGCTTTCCCACAGTCCTTACATTCAAAGGGTCTCTCACCACTATGTATTTTCTGATGTTCAGTAAGGTGAGCTTTCTGGAGAAAGGCTTTGCCACATTCCTTACATTCATAGACTCTCTCTCCAGTGTGAATTTTCTGGTGTCGAATAAGGTATGAGCTCAAAAAGAAGGCCTTCCCACATTCATTGCATTCATAAAGTTTCTCTCCAGTGTGAATTCGCTGATGCTGAGTGAAGTTGGACGTCTGGCTAAAGCGTTTCCCACACTCATTACATACATAGGGTCTTTCTCCTGTATGAATTCTTTGATGTTGAATAAGCTTTGAACTCCGGATAAAGGCTTTCCCACACTCACTGCACTCAAAAGGTCTTTCTCCAGTGTGGATCCTCTGATGCTCAATCAAGTCTGACCGATGGCGGAAGGCCTTTCCGCATTCTCTGCATTCATACTGCTTCACTTCCGTATGAATCTGATAATGGCGGATAAGGCTTGAGCTGCGAATGAAGGACTTTCCACACTCATTACACTCATAGGGTCTTTCTCCCGTGTGAATCCTCTGGTGGCGAATGAGTAATGAGCTCTGACTGAAGCCCTTTCCGCATTCTTTGCATTCATAAGGTCTCTCTCGGGTGTGAACTCTCTGATGTCTAATAAGATCTGAGCTGTGACAGAAGCCTTTCCCACACTGAGTACATTTGAATGGTTTTTCTCCCGCATGTACTTCTTTATGCTCAGTCAGATTGGAATAGTGAATGAAGTTCTTTGCACACACACTGCAGACATAGAGTTGCTCTCCAGTGTGAAGTCTCTGATGCTCAGTAGGGTGTGAGCTCTGGCTGAAACCTTTCCCACAGTGATCACATTTGGACAGCTGCTCCCCAGCGTGAGAAAGCTGGTGCCTAATTAGGTCTGAAGGAAATGTGAAGCTTTTGCCACAAGTGTCACATTGATGGGCCTCCCCTTCGAGTAGCTCTCTCTGAAGTATGAGGAGGTTGGAGTTCAGAATTGGGCTTCTCCCTGATTTGTTACATATCTGGGCTGTCTCTCCCGTCTGAATTTTCCAGTGGGTAACTGTCACTTGCCTGAAATCTGCTTCCTCAGAGGGGGAATTCCTCAGGCTCTGCCCTTCTGAGTTTTCCAGGAGCACTCCTAGTTTGGGTTCAGGGACATCCTCAGACTCATGGGCTGAGGGCTCCATCCCTGGAGGTTTTTCTGACACCACCTTATGTGAATTTTCATCTTCAGAAATTCAGGCTTTTGAATCCCCCTTGTGTTTAGAATCTGAAATGAGAACAAAAAGATCATCTTTTCCCATTGTCAACAGAAGAGAATCTGCTGGAGTAGAAAGAAGACAGACACATGCCCAAGACCCCCGCTCTCATTTCACCTAATCAGCCATTCCCACTTAGGAGAGCCACTGTGTGGTTCTACCTGTAACATGTTCAACTCCAGGGCACAGACTAGCCTCTGACATATGAAACTCTTCTGACCCTCAGTGAATCCCAGATGGTGCCAGGTAAGACCTACGTACACAAGCCTAATCCCCCAACCTCTGGGAAGGGCCACGACTTGACATATTCTCCTAGTGACATACAGAAGTCATGGCTCCTACTGCCTTCTCACTGTCCTTCGTTCCTTCAAGTCCTTCCCTCCGTACTGGCTTCCCTCCCATGGTCTATGATACGACTTTTAGTCACACACCATAAACACGCTCTTGCGTTTAACCCCAACACCATAGCCTTTTCTTCCTCTATTTGTGTGACAGAACCTCAAACCTGGTTAAATTCAGCTCGTTTCCTGCTGTCTGCATTGTTGCGGACTGAGCCCTCTGTAAGGTGTAACTCACTGCCTAAAGGGGCCGGTGAGCGGCTACGAGTCCTCCACTGCCTTGGTTCTCCAGTGCTGCTACCACAGAGCTACCACAAGCAGGTGGCTTAGCAAACAGAATCTATTCTCTCACAGTTCAGAAAGCTAGAAGTACAAGGTCAGAGAACCAGCTCTAAGCCAAGGCCTTCTCCCTCGATGGGCTCTGGAGGAAGGTCTTGGCCTCCTTTCAACATCTGTGAGGCTGGCATTCCTTGGAGAGTTAAATGTGTCTTGGCATCAATCTTCCTGTGAGTCTAGGAGGTTCTCAGTGTAGGGACCCTGGGTCTAAAGGATGCATACTTGGGTCCTGTCTCTTCTTTCTTAGTGGTAGTCAGATCCCTCCCCTCCATTTCTCTCTTTTCATCTCCTATAAGATAAAAGGTGATGTGGGCCAGGGAAACTCCCCTTACATCAGAGCAGGGCTATGAGCTGAGTAAGGTAATACACCCCACCCTAATCCCCTAACAACTGATTACCTAATCACATCAGATCACGCCATGGGGGATTACATCATTACATGACAAAACATCACTGAGAATCACAGCCCAGGAAAGCTCAAACATACTTTGGGGACACACAACTGAATCCATGACATCCACACTGAGTCTGGCCACTGGGCTATGAGAACCATTCAGGTGACAATCTACTGTGCAATACCCCATTTCTGTAGCATGGAGGCAGCAGGACGTGTTGCTGAACCAATTTTGAACATGCCAAGGAGAGCCACCCCCGATACAACGGCAAAGCAAACAAGACAGAAGGAACCTTGGTCCCTGGGTGACCTCAAAAAGCAGATCACCCACCCTCATGTGGGCTGTTCTGCAAGCCATTGAGCATCCCACTGGCACCGCTGCATTCCTACTACCCACCACCGTCTGTCAGTTTGTTGTACTGTGGTGGCTTGCGTTCTACGGGCAATGCCAGAGGCTATTTTACAGGACAGCAGGGTCACCTATGGTGGATGGGATCCAGTGCAGCTTCTAGACTAAGACAGACCGGCAGGAAGGATCTGACCATCTACTCCTGGAACAACTGGCCAGTGAAAACCTTATCTCATAACAGCTCATCTTCATGTGATACAGCTGTCAGAACTCGAGCCCCTCAGGTTGGAAGGCACTTGAAAAAGCTGCCTCCTCAGAGTACAGTCAACCTTAATGATGTGGATGGAGTAAAGCTTTCAAGATCTTCATCTGCTGATGTGGCATGACTCAAGATGAGAACAGGTGCACACATCCATTAATCATCGGAACACGGAATGTATGAAATATGAATCAAGGAAAATTTAGTGTCAAAAATTAAACGAAATACTTGAATATTGCTATCCTAGGCATTAGGAGCTCTGGTAGCATAGTGGCTAAAGCACTTCACTGCTAACCAGAAGGCTGGCGGTTCAAACCCACCAGCCACTCCTCGGAAGGAAGGTTGGGCAATCCTACTTCTGTAGCGATACTACCTCGGAAACCCAAGGAGGGGTCGCTATGAGTCGGGGCCGACTCGACGGCACATAACAACAACAACAAGGCATTAGTGAGCTCTGGTGGTATAGGACCTAAAGTACCTGACTGCTCATCAAATGGCTGGCAGTTCAAACCACCAGCCAGCCACTCCATGGAAGGAAGACAGGGCAATCTACTTCAGGAAAGACTTACCACCTTGCAAACCGAATGGGGGTCGCTAATGAGTTGGAATGGACTCGATGGTTGTGAGTTTTGTTTGGGTTTAGACCATTAGTGAACTAAAACAGACATGGTATTGGCCATTTTCAATGGGACAATCCTATGGACTATTGTTCTAGGATGAACAAATTGAAGAGGAATGGAGTCACATTCATTGTCAAAAAGAACATTTCAAGATCTATCTTGAAATACAACGCTGTCAGTGATAGAATGATATCCATATGTGAACAAGGAAGCCCAGTTAATACAAACATTATTCAAATTTACATACCAATTATTAACACAAAAGATGGAGAAATTAAAGATTTTTATCAAATGCTACAGTCTGAAATTGATCAAACATAAAATCAAGATGCATTGATAATTATTGGTGATTGGAGTAAGAAAGTTGGAAACAAAGGAGGATAGTAGTTGGAAAATAAGGCTTTGGGGATAGAAATAAGGGCGGAGATCACATGACACAATTTTGCAAGACCAATGACTCACTCATTCCAAGTACCTTCTTTAACAACATAAACAGCAACTACAAACATGGACTAAAAGAGACAGAATTAAAAAAAAAAAATCAGTGTTCAACCATTTCAGGAGGTTGTGTATGACCAAGAATCAACAGTGCTAAAGAAGTCCCACCTGCACTGAAGGAACTGACCAAATATAAGGCTCCAGGTATTGACGGAATACCAAACGAGATGCTTCAACAGCAGATGCAGTGCTGGAAGCACTCACTCGTCTGTGCCAAGAAGCCAGAAAGACAGCTACCTGGCCAACCAACTGAAAGAGATCCAGTCGTGCTCATTCCAAAGCAAGGTGATCCAACAGAATGCGCAAATCACTGAACTCCATCATTAATATCACACACAAGTAAAATTTTGCTGACCATAATTAAAAAAAAATAATAAAAAAGGTTGTAGCGAAACATCAACAGTGAACTGCCAGAAATAAAAGCCACATTCAACCATAAATTCAAACCAGATTCAGAAAAGGATGTCAGATGGATCTTGTCTGAAAGCAGAGAGTATATGAAAGATTTTTACCTGTGTGTTACTGACAACGCAAAAGCATTTGACTGTGTGGATCATAACAAATTAAGGACAACACTGCAAAGAAGGGGATTCCAGAACACTTAACTGTGCTCATGAGGGACCTGTAAGTAGACCAGGAGGCTGTGGTTGAAACAGAACAAGGGAATACAGTGATTTAAAATCAGGAAAGATATGTGTCAGGGTTGTATCCTTTCACCATATTTATTCAATCTGTATGCTGAGCACATAATTCACAAAGCTGGACTATATGAAGAACACACCATCAGGACTGGAGGAAGACTCACTAACCACCTGCGATAAGCAGATGACAATCTTGCTTGACTTGAAGCATTTCCTGATGAAGACTGAAGACTACAGTTTGCAGTGTGGATTACACTTCAACATAAAGAAAACGAAAATCCTCACCAGTGGACCAATAACCGACATTAGGATAAACGGAGAAAAGATTGAAGTTGTCAGGGATTTCATTACTTGGATCCACAATCAACGTCTGTGGAAGCAGCAGTGAAGAATTCACACATCGTATTGCACCGGGCAAATCTGCTGCAAAAGATCGCTTTCAAGTGTTCAGGAGCAAAGATGCCACTTTGAAACCTAAGGTTTGCCTAACTCAAGCCAAAGTATTTTCAAATCACCTCATATGATGGGAAAGCTAGATAACGACTAAGGGAGACTGAACTGCCTCTGACTGTGTGCTGGCCAAGAACACTGAACAGGCCCTGGACGGCCAGAGGAGTAAATCTGTCCTGGAAGAAACCCCGCCGGAACACGACTTAGAAGTGAGGAAGCTGAGACTTTGTCTCCCCTACTTTGGGCACGCCAGCAGGAGGGACCAGTCCCTGGAGAATGACATCATCCTTAGTAGAGAGTCGGGAAAGAGAGAAAGACCCTCCACCAGATGGACTGACACAGCGGCTGCAACAAAGGGCTCAAACGTAGCAAAGGCTGTAAGGTTGGTGCAGGTCCAGACAACGCTCCCTTGTTGCAGGTGAGGTCACTATGTGTCAGAATGGACTCCATGGCATGTGTCAGGGTTGTATCCTTTCACCACAGCAACAGCATTTTTCCTGTAGTTGAGTTTACACCTATGGCAAAATTGACACCTTGAATTGGGGTAATGACATTATAAAAATCTAAAACATACGGTAGCAGGTTAGTGGTCAGGCCACAAGGAAATTAGTATCGGCAAGTCATGGCGAAGGGTAAAAGATAAAACTCGAAGGTGTGATATGTCTACCCACCAAGCTCATAGTCAGCCCCAGAGAAAGTAGCTAAGGGGGTAGCATGTTGGCCTGTACTGGCCAGTTCTTGGTGCTTCCAAGCTGAGTATCATAAATGAAATGAAGGTAGTGAGAATCATCCATTTGTAACCAGAGAAAAACATGGCTCTGACAAGGGCAACTGCCTCCAGGAGACCTGCACTGTATCCCAGGAAGTACGAGGGCTCTCCAGCAATCCCATTACTAGGGATACACCCTAAAGGAGTGAGAGGAAGAACACAGATACGTGCACACCCACATTCCCTGCAGCACCATTCACAATAGCAAAGCCACCACAACAACCTAAGCATCCATGAACTGAGGAATGCATAACCAAAGTGTGGGACATACACACAGTGGAATACTATGCAACCCTAAAGAATAATGTAGAATCGGCAAAACACCTTGTAA